ACATTTGTTAGAATCCAAAAGCAGTTGATGCTGTGCCTGATTCGCTTTACAAGCACACTTGGTACTTAGACTCAACTATGATTCCACTATTTTTCTTTGCATGAAAAACAAAAAATTGCAGCTACAATTCTTTAATTTAAAATACCTAAGGTTGAAGACTTTAAAAATGAAAAAAAAAAAAAAAAAGAAAGACATCAGAAAAAAGATAGTAAAAAATTCTAGTACTGAGCAAGATCCACCGAGCTTAGCCCCTTTGGTAGATGAGTTTTCTTACCTTATTTTTAGTTTTAGTGGTTTAACTGAAGAAAGAATAAAAGACTGGCGTTCACTTCCACCGCAATACTGGCATACACAGTCTTCGTTTAAAATTTTTGAAAATTATGCCTATAACCTTATTGTTATCAATGACCATTCGTAAAGAGCCGTCGGTATGATGCAGCAATATGTCCATCGTTACAGTAACGAAGAGGAAAAACAGAAGTAATTGATATCAGTTAACAGAGTTCGCTCTGCTTTTAGGATTTCTTGGAAAATCTCCACTAGTCTTACAAAAAAAAGACTATCTGATAGCCTTTCCTTCTTAGCAAATAAACAAAACACGAACAAAAAAAAAAAAGCTAAAATATAGAAGAAACTTACAAAAACTTTTTAAATATTTAAAATATTTTTTTTTGATTTGATAAATAATATTGAATCGTGATATGCAAAAACCACCAAAATTACAAAATCAACATGTTCGGTAAATTTGAAAAAAACTATTTTATTTCTTAATTGTTAATGTTTGATTTTTTTAGAATATCATTGATTCACATAAGGAACATTTTTCGGAATAAAATCTCCAAATTTTGCAAAAAAGTAAAAAAAATACGAAGTGTGGTTTTTGAAGACAAATAATAAATAGTCATAACTTAAGGAGTATTTTATTTTATTCTGATTAAAATATTAGAAATAATAAACGTACATAAAATGAGTAATTCTATTCTTATTTTGAATATATACATTTACAAACTGTATTATGAATCTAAATAACAAAATTTGAATTTAATTGTTGAAAAAAACCACACTTTTTTAACCAAAAATACAGATATTTATCTAAACCATGAAAAAAAAAATTTATTATAAATACTTATGCAAGCCTTGCCCTCAAGACACTTAAAGTAATACGTTTTTGGTCATTTTTGGATTCTTTTTTTCCAAACATGTGCTGTGAGGGCAAAGAAAGAGTGGTTTAATGGCGCTAAAATTTTTTGTGATTAAGTTTAAACATATTTGCTTTAAATTTAGACGGTTTGGTTGTTCAAATTTAAATTTTTTTTTTCTAAACACCCCTAAAATATAGGGTAGAATGCAAGAAGCAAACTTGAGTCAAGTTCGACTTGAACTTTATTTTGTAACCAATAACTGCAGAGTGTTTTTTGAGGGGAAAACCCATACTCTGTCGCTATTGGTTATAATGTCGCTATTGGTTATAAAGTTCAAGTCGAGCTTGACTCAGGTTCGCTTGTTGCATTCCACCCATAAACTTACGGTTTACGGGATCATCTGGAAATTGATCGGTTTTGTTTGTATTAATCTCCAAACAAGAATGCATAAATATTGTTAATTTTAAAAATGTGTGAAAGAGGCGTTACTAAAAGATTTTCTTTGAAGAGAAAATTTTAAGAGAGAAAATGTTAAGAGATAAAGAGAGATTTTTATGAGACAAAGAATAAAAAAAGATTACTTTTAAATAAAAATAGAAAGATCGTTACTATTTTTATTTTTGGTTGTTATCTTTTTCTTAAATTTATTAAGTTAAAGAAAGTTACAAACATTAAATTAAAAAGTTACATTCCTAATAGTGTGGCTGATATGGCAAAATCCGAAGCATCAGTCTCGATAGTAAAATGGGATATTCTCATCAATGGTTTGCATATGTGGTAATCATGATGATAGGTCTTAACAAAGTTAAGACCTATCATCATTACCACATATGCCTATCATCATTATATCAATATCATCATTATAAGGTTTAGAGTACTATTAATTTTGTATTTTAAAATAATGCTCACAATCACTTCAATCTGAGGTAAAAGATATGCATCTAACTGCATATGCTTTTTAATAGTTATATCTATTTATATTAATTTGTTTATGTTGTCAAAAATCTAGATGCACAATCAATTGGTTTGTATACCCCATCATAATTCTGGTAAACAACTACACTAAGTCTATTTAAAATTCTTCCATTTTATTTTATCTTATTGAATGCTTTAGTATGGTTTTCTGTCCATATCCATGCTGATTTTGAACTTAAAAGATCTCGCAAAGGTTTCACTAGTTTAGCAAGTAATGGATTAAGTTTTGGTAATTGTTGAGTCATACCCAAAACTACGCAAAGCTGTAATATTTGTTGGTCTTGGGAAATTTTGTATTGCTTTAACTTTTTTGTTCAGTTTCAATCCCTCTACTGAAATTTTATGTCCTAAAAATTCCATAGAACTTTAATTAAATACCCAATTTTATAAAATAGGGATAACTCCATGTTCTGCAAGTGATCCATCTTTTACTAAAGATTTCTTGAAGTTACGTTAACCCAAATAGACCACTTGTTGGGCAAAAATGACCAACAGGTGTAGTAAGTGAACACTTTCCTCAACCAAAAGGTGTAGTAAACACACTTTCCAAACCCAAACCCATGGGTAGTTGTCATTACTCTGAGTTAGCATCTAATTTAGTCATATATTTCCATCTATTTCCTAGTTGGGCCTAATTTCCATCTATTTCCTAGTTGGGCCTATGTATCACCTACACTTTTTAATTTATAAAATTTGTGTTATGTATCTTTATTTAGTTTTGTCTAATTGATACAAATTCGAACCTGACCTTTAGTTTTTTTCACAACTTCAATTGGATGACACCAGTCAGTCGGTTGATATACTATTTTGGCTACATTCATCTCTTTCATATGTTCAAGTTCTAACTTTAATAGTTTTAGAAGTGGGAATGCTACTTGCTATGTTGCTCCACTATGGTATGGTGTCACATTTTCAAGTACTTTAATATGTACAGGGTCATCTTTAATTGTTCCTAACCCATTAAATACTGAAGGAAACTGTTCTACCACCTTATTTTTTGTAACTTTAATCGTACCATACATAAATCTTTCAGAAATGTCTATTTTAACTTGGTTAAACTTTTGAAGGCAGGTCTACCTAATAAGGCTGTTTTGACATTATTACAAATATATATGGTAATAAACTTGCTGTTCTGACTGATTGTAAATGATTTTTAGAAATACCCAAGCAATGTAAATGCCAATAGCAATTTAGTGGATTTTGATCAGGGCCTAATAATTGTTTGTTACTAGTATGTAATTGATTAATTTTCAGTTCCTATGATTGTATTTTCAGCACCAGTGTCTATTTTGAGTTTTGTTATACTATATTTTACTTTTAATTGTATTTGCTAAGGTCCTTCTGTCACAGAACTAATCTAATCAAATTGCACAAAATCAGATTTCACACTTCAATATAATGCGCCTAAATGCTGCTCTGAGGCTGACAAATTTTATATTTAGTTATGGTGAACAGTATCTCTATCAGAAATTTTGTTTTTAAGCAAACTGAACTACTTAAAAATTCATAATATTAAAGTCTCTTTAATTTAAAGTCTCTTTTATTTCCAGCGTTTTGTGTCAGTGAATTAAATTTTGTTTTTTGGTACGATTGTTGTCTACACTTTTACTTTTATTATTTTGTAATTTAGATACACCATCTTGTACTTTTTCAGAAAAATGACAAATTTCCACCCCTCTATCCAGTATCTTTTCAGAAAGTAATTTTTCTCATACTTTGTCACATCGTAATCCAGATAAAATTTGATATGATATTGGTTTCTTTTCTAAATCCAACAACAAAACATAATCATGCCATATCTCAATCCAAGAGTGAAACACAATAAATCTATCTACAACTAAATCTGATATTAGAGGAAACCACCTCTTCCACTTTGTGCCATTTTTGATAAATAGATTTCCAACAATAAACAAGATAATCATTAAATTCTATAAAACTTTATTTTTGCACCAGTGCCATCTTGTGCTCATAATATATTTTCTAAAAGTCCAACACTGATCTACAAGATTGAGCCATTAAATATGTATATAAATGTCACACCTATTTTTAGTTTGTTGTTTTTCTCTAAGGCATAAACTGCTCAGTGCAGCTCTATTAGAATACACTGTATTCAACAAAATCTTTACTTTTTACCATTTCTGAACAAAGCAACTTTGTCAAACTTAATGCAGCAAACGAATTGGTAGAAAAAATAATACATATATTGTATACCTTTAATTTATATATAACTAAAAATAATTTATAGCATAATTAACTTAAAAAATTTTTTTAAACGCTTTGGTAGTTGTTGCAGTAACTGCTATTAATCAACGGTTTGTATATTAGTACCCACATAAATAATAATTAGAATAACCTTTTGAAATGTGTTGATTAGTTCAAATTGGTATAAAAAGTTTAAAAGTTTTTTTTGTGATGTAAAATTAAAATTAAAAAATAAAAATCTGTCAAATCATTGTTTTGAGTTAATAATTAATGTTCAACACTTTATAACTTCTTATTGTAAAATTTTAAACTTCTATAAAATATAAAAAAAACAAGTACAGGCTTATAATATTTTTTTTATTATTAGGTTTCTATTAAGTTTTTATTAAATTTTTTCCAGACCATCTGCAGTATGTTAAGACTCTTGCCCTGTAAATTTTGAATAAATTAAAAGTTTGAATGTAAAATCTTTTTTTCTTAATGTCTCTTTAATGTGTGTTAAACACGCAGACTTAACTAACTACCTAAGCACATTAATAACTTAAGTATCTTTATTGTGACAATGTTTTGATGTTTATTAAAATTTTAAGCTTTTTTAAAAACTCTCTTCCTTTTGTTTGTTTTATTATATACTCTCTTTATATCAATCAAACTTTAAAAATGTTTTATTTTGTATTTTAGAAATTTGGAAAGCAGAAAAAAAAAAAAAAAAATTAATGTGCAAGCAACAGAATTTAAACCCTCGTTTTGTTTGTACATTTCGGAACAACCTTTGTTGAACTTTGGAAGCGCAGCAAGCTAACCACTTTGGTCACCAAGACACACTAATCTTCCAATTTTCAAAACTATTTAATAGTAAAAAGATGGAATAACTTTATAAAGCAGCAAATAAATGCTATAAATCAAAATTAAGGAGATTTTGCTGCAATGCAAAAACTTTATAGAAGTAAAAATTTTGAAAAAATTTTGAAATTTTTTTTTTTTTTTAAAACTTGATGTTTTAACATTATATAATTTAAAATTTACATAAGTTAGATATTTGCAGTTACAAAAAGTGCCCCATCTCGTCATTAACTCGGGTGTAATGGCTGCTGTGAGTTCTGTGCAAACACATACGAATGAGTAATGACAGGAACAGCAGCATTGAATTTGGTATTAAAATATTATAACTGTCTCCTTTGACAATTTCTCTTTCTTTTTCCATCAATGCTTTTCTGTGTCTTGCTCTTTCGATCCTGTAGCATCTGATTTAGACAAAAAAATGTTATTAAATATAACAGTTTGTGATTGACGTTTAGTTATGGTTAAAAAAAACTTAAATAAAAGTATTTTAAATAAAAACCCTGCGTAAGTCTAATGAACAAAAATATTGCAGTTCGAACTAATAACAATCTAAAAAAAATTGCCTTCTAGTTAAAAGTTTTTTTAAAAATATTAATATAATTAAATTGATTTTTAACTCGGTTTTTATAATAAAATCTTTATTTTAGATCTACATCTTTTGTATAACAATCAAATCAGTTTTTCTACAATAAATTAGTTCATGACAAGTATCACATAAAAATCACATAAATTTATTCTTACAGTAAAACTATCTGCTAAGTTGGATTTCAGATTAAATTCAGATTAAAAATCAGTAACCAATTAAAATAATTAAAGCAACTTAAACACCATGGTATCAGAAAACTAAACAGTGATTGATTTTTTTTTTAAAAAGTATTTTCAAAGTTATCTTTACTTTGTTAAAGTCAAATAAAAAAATCTTTATTTTAAAAAAAGGTAGGACATTTTCCTTGCTTTTTTTTTTTTTTTAAAAAAAAAAATAATTTTAACACAAGTGTATCAGGACTACACAAATGCTGAAGTTTTGAGAATTCCAGTTAGTCTGGAAAATAATGAAAAATTGATTGCAAGATTCTGCTTTAAAAAAGTGGGGGACATGACCTAAACTTCCCCTGGTGTCTTGGGCCTTTAAAACAACTTTAACATGCAACTGTTAGTATATTTTATTTGAGAAAATTATTCATATAAATTAACCCTGATGGTGGCGTAATTAAACTTAATAATTTATTTATTTGTTAAAATGGTTTAGATTCAAAATCAAAAAAAAATTTCAAAATTTTTTTATTTACTTGAAATTGATTAATAATTTAGTAATAAACAAATTTTTTTTTTTGATTTTTATCTAATAATAAAAATTTTTTAAAATAGTGTTATTAAAACAGTTTAAAACAAACAAACTGTTTATAACAGCATATGATTTTTATAATAATGTTGAAATTGTAAATATTTCTTAGTTTGCTCACTGAACAAGAATTTTACATCTTTTATATTTCATCTTGTAATTTATATTTGTAGCTGTGACTTTTTATCAATAATTGATTTTAATAATAAAGTGACAAAATTTATATATAGTATCAAAAAACAGCTGTTCAAATCTAACTTCTATAGTTGTTAGGATTTTTTTCTCAAGAAGACAGCTCCAGTTATTATTAAATTATTATTATTATTATTAATCAAGCTTTTGATCTGCTGATAAAAACCCCACAAGTTTGACATAATTTATCCCTTTAATGAATAATTTATCCCAATAAATTAATTTATATATATAAATAATATGTGTAATTATATAACTATGTGTTGTATATATTTTCTTTTAGATTCAAGTCAATCATGAAAATCACTTTAGTGATCAAAAGGATATTTTACAGCGAAGGATCGACACCATTGCCAATTAAAATTTGTTTTTTATTGTTTACAATTTGTGTAAGTAATTACAATTGTATTATTGTTTATAACTTTAGTAACAGTAGTTTCATATTTTTCTATTTTTTTTAAGTTGTTTTTTGTTTGTTGTAGTTTCTTACTGATTCATTAAAAAAATACATTAGAAAAAAAATAGAATTAAAGTAATAGGAATATTATAATAAAATAATGAAAGCATCTTTAATTAATAAATGTAATTAAAAAAGCAAAAATTTTCCATAGAGTTATGATTTGTATTTTCCTAAAGCAATTAAATTTTATTATTATAATGGTTCATTATTTTAAATGTACTAAAACTAAGTATTTTTATCATATTTTGTAAATAATTAAACTTGAAGTAGTTTAAATTTATTAAAACATAACTATTTGATAATGATGATAAAGTTTATAGTAGTTTAAATTTATTAAAACATAATTATTTGATAAAGATTATAGAGTTTATTTGTTTAACTCAATATTTAAACCTTAATATTTTGATTTTTCTAACAACTTTTATTACAGGTTCTAATTTACAATTTGCCGACAAAACAGTCAATCATGTTTTTAACATTAACTTTTTTTGTACATATTAAGTAAGGCAAATCAGACTTGTAAGGTCAATCAGACCATTATTAGCCATTTTTTTATGTCTATTACATGATTTATAACTTATAAAGATAACACTATATATATATATATATATATATATATATATATATATATATATATATATATATATATATATATATATATATATATATATATATATATATATATATATATATATATATAGTGTTTTATATATATATATATATATATATAAGTGATTTATAACTCATAAAGATAACACTATATATATATATATATATATATATATATATATATATATATATATATATATATATATATATATATATATATATATATATATATATATATATATATATAACCTTTCATCTAAAGTAGCTCTTTTTGCTGATGACTCAACTTTATACTCCTGTCTTGACAAGGAGCTGATCTTGAATCCGATCTCACTTCAGTAATAGATTGGGGTTCACAGTGGCTTGTCATTTTCAACTCTAACAAAACCCAGTTGTTTACTGCAAACAACTACCGTAATATGGTCAACATTCCTATATTAATGAATGGCAATCCTCTTACTGAGTCCTCCTCTTTACGTCTTCTTGGATTATCGCTTACTTTTGACCTTTCATGGAAACCATATATACAATCGATTGCTAAATTAGCTTCTGCTAAGGTTGCTTCTCTTTATCGTGCTCGCCATTTCCTTACTTCTGATTCCATTCTCTACCTCTATAAATCTCTTATTCGTCCCTGTATGGAATACTGTTGTCATATTAGGCTGGTTCTTCTAACGATTCACTTTCTCTTCTTGACAAGGTCCAAAAACGCATTGTAAATGTTGTTGGACCTGGACTATCTGCTAAGCTTGAACCTCTTTCCCATCTTCGTAAAGTTGCATCTCTTTCTCTTTTCTACAAATACTATCATGGTCACTGCTCAAAGGAGTTATCATCTCTAGTTCCATCAACTAAAATTCATTCTCGTTTTTCTCGTCATTCAGCTAAGTCTCATTCGTTTACTGTATCTGTCCCTGCATGCTCTAAAAACCTTTATTCATCTAGTTTTTTTCCCCGCACTTCAATCCTTTGGAAATCTCTCCCATCTTCATGTTTTCCTGACTCATACAACCTTCAACTTTTCAAGTCTTCTGTCAACCGTTTCCTTGCTCTATAACTCTGTTTTTTTTTTTCCTAGTAACTCCCAACTTAATAGTGGTTGCTTGCAGCCTTGTTGGGAGTGAATGCAAATAAAAAAATAAATAAAAATAATATATATATATATATATATATATATATATATATATATATATATATATATATATATATATATATATATATATATATATATATATATATATATATATATATATATATATATATATATGTATACAGGCTTAGCCAGAAAGGCATGTGATTTCAAGTCATTACATGACTACGCAAATATTGTTTTGTCTTGACAATTTAACCACGGTTTTTAACAAATGTACTGAAAAAATTGATTTTTAATTACTTTGAAAATAAATAACTTCAATGTGTTTATCTTTACTAACGTTTTTATATTAGCAAAATGCTTTTAAATAAAGGAGCTGATGATTTTAATTTAAGTATCATCGAAAGTTGTATGAATTTTTATTTATATTATTAAATTATAAAAATTAATTTAAAAAAGTGAAAATTATTAAAAAAAGATTAAATTTTATAAGCGACGTCTCGAAAAGTAGATATATTTTGTTGGGAAGAAAAAGAAAGACAAACTTTTTGAAAGTCATTTAAATTAAATAACTTTGATCTTTACTTATGTTTTTATATTATTGAAACACCTTTAAATAAAGTAACAAAAATAATAATAAGTAATAATTAGTGATGTACCGATTAATCGGCATCGGCATTGGCTCTATCGGACATTTTTTGCACAATCAGAATCGGTATTGGCATTGGCCACTTTTACCGATTTTCCAACCAATGGTATTTAATATTTTTATCCTGCATTATTATAACAATTAAATAATAAATAAACTAAACTTTATACATTACTTAGAATTTTTTGGATAAATTTTTATTTTGACTTTGTTTACAGGCAACAGCTTTAGAAGTAACCAATATAGGCATTGTTATCTATAATTCTTTTTTACTCCCATTAATGCTGCAAGCAACCAATATCAAGTTGGGAGTTGCTAGAAAAAAAAAGTAGAGTTATAGAGCAAGAAAATGGTTGACAGAAGACTTAAAAAGTTGAACGTTGTATGAGTCAGGAAAACATGAAGATGGGACAGAGTTCCTAAGGGTTGAAATGCTGGGAAATAAGCTAGACAAATAAATGTTTTTGGAGCATAAAGAGACAGATACAGTAAAATAATGAGACTTTGATAAATGACAAGTAAAGCAGGAATAAATTTTGTTGATGGAACTAGAAATAAAAGCTCCTTTGAGCAGCAACCATTATAGTATTTATAAAAAAGAGAAAGAGATGCAATTTCACGACGATGTAAAACAGGCTCAAGAAGTTACTGGAAATAAAGAAGAGTGTTGACCTTCGAGGATGACTTAAGGCGATTATTAAGGCGGTTAGAAAAAAAAAACAATTTGATAATCTCAAGAATTTCCCAGATACACCATATGAAACAAGCTTATGGAAAAGACCAACATGTCAAACTTTGTCGAAAGCCTCAGATATGTCTAGAACAATAGCCTCTAAGCCTCCATCTAATGCACGATAAAATCTTTCAGTCACAGCAGTTAGCAATTCAACCGTAGAGCAAGAGGATCGAAACACGTATTGGTTTTCTGACAGCAAGTTATTTGACTAAAATTGGAATGTGAAAAATATGTTTATCAAAGACTCAAAGACCTTGCTAATGACATAAAGAAGACTGATTGGACAATATTTGGAAGGTTCAGTATGTTTACCAGAGTTTTTAACAACAGATGCCATTCCAGCAAGCAGGAAAACAATAATCAGTCAAGTACTTAATAAATAGTTTAGATAAAATTGAGTCCTGAAGAACAATTTTGTACGACTGTGACAGGAACTTTGTCTGGACTACAAGCCATAGAAGAGTTTAATTGAGATATGGCTATGAGCAATGGAAGCTGAAGTAGTTTGAATGTCTAACAATGGGTTAACCTGTTTAATTAGAATGGAAGGAAGAGAAAGGCAGATTTGAGAGTCAGATTGGAAGAGAATTTCTTTGCAAATAGTTCTGCCTTAGTTCATGTATTTAAGCATAGCCAAATATCAAGTATATTTCTATATTTTTTATTTTTTTATTTCAATTCACCTCTATGAGACTACGAAGGCCACTTTAATTGAAGAGGCTTCTTTAGTTATGACTACAACCCACTCTCAATTTTATAACTTGGAAACACAAACCTTGATTAACAAAGATTAAAATAGTTGTTTGGCTTTGATTTGTTTCCAAGTATTTGTTTACCAGTATCGATTTAAAGTTGTATGGGTTTATATTTTCAAATTTTTAATAATTATTTAATTCATCGGTATCGGCATTGATATCGGCCTTTTCTCATCCATCGGTATTATATGTAAATTATGGGAATGAATGCAAGAAAAACGATTCAATATGTGCTAAATGTAGTGAAAAACATCGAACGAATCTATGCTCATCTTTGGATAAAAAATGTGTTAACTGTGTTTTAGAGGGACAAAATAATCACTTTCACTGTGCTTTGATTTGTTTCCAAGTATTTGTTTACCAGTATCGATTTAAAGTTGTATGGGTTTATATTTTCAAATTTTTAATAATTATTTAATTCATCGGTATCGGCATCGATATCGGCCTTTTCTCATCCATCGGTATTATATGTACATTATGGGAATGAATGCAAGAAAAACGATTCAATATGTGCTAAATGTAGTGAAAAACATCGAACGAATCTATGCTCATCTTTGGATAAAAAATGTGTTAACTGTGTTTTAGAGGGACAAAATAATCACTTTCACTGTGGATTTGATATTAAATGTCCTTCTCTTGAAAGAGAAAAGAATACTTTGAAAGAGAAACTCGATAGCAATCATTTAAACGCCAAGTCCAGAAGGATGATAGAACTTACATGAGTCATATATTATGCTCACTATGGAATGTTCGTTCTCTTATTAATAAACTTCCAGATGTAATGGAGCATATACTTTATAGGAATCCATTCATAGTTTTTATTACTGAAACATGGATGACATGGATGACTTCTGAAAACAATAATACAACAACAATGATAAAAAGTTATGGATATGTTTTGCGTCATAAAATAAGAAAAGAAAGAGATAAAGTATAAGGTGGCGGTGTAGGAATTATGCTAAAACAATCAATTATGCACAAACAACTACCGAATAAACAGTTTCAATCCTTTGAACATGTATGTGTTAAAATTATGGTAGCGAAACAATCACTAATTCTAATTTGCATATATAGACTAATATTTGTTTCTCACACAACATTCCAGGATGAATTCATGGTTTTACTTGAAACAATAGTATCTACAGATTGCACATACATTATAGCTGATGATGTAAATATACACTTAGGTACTAAAGGATTATATAGCAAAAGTTTTAAGGAATTACTAGATGCACTTAATCTTACACAAAATGTCAAAGAACCAACTCATAAAATGGGACACATATTAGATGTAGTGATTAATAAACCAGATGAAATATCAGTTGATATGCTACCTGTGACAGACTTAGATTTTAGTGACCATTTTCTCATTGATTTTAAATTAGAACAAAAAATAGAAAAAAACACATACCTCACTATCACATACAGGAATTTAAAAACAGTAGACGTGAAGTCTTTCAACAATGAAATATTAAGAAATAAATGGAAAATCACAATATATAATCAAGTAATGAAAGAAATTGTACAGAAACATGCTCCTTTGAAAACTAAAATAGTAAAAATAGTGAATACAACTCCTTGGTTTGATGGGGAATATATGCAACTAAGGCAAAAACAAAGAAAAGCAGAAAAATTATTTAAGAGAACCAAAATTGAAAGTGCCGAAAAAGAATATATACGTCTCAGAAAAAAAACAACAATTACTTGTAGCTAGAAAGTGCTACATTACTTCCAATAATAAAAAAGTTAGACTCTGCCACCACAGATACAGAAAACTTCAAAAATTATAGACCAGTTTTCAATTTAGTATTCATTAGCACGCTAATAGAAAGAGTAGTTTCCAATCGTCTAGATTCCCTCATGACAACAAACAATCTTCATATAGAATATCAATATGGATACAAAAACATCATTCCACTGAAACACTTTTGCTGAAGCTTACCAATGATATATTTGAACTCTTTGATAAGAATACACCTTCAGTACTTGTTACTTGATCTAAGTGCTGCTTTTGACACTATTGATCAACAAAAACTACTTTTTTTTTTTTTTTATTTGCATTCACTCCCAACAAGGCTGCAAGCAACCACTATCAAGTTGGGAGTTACTAGGAAAAAAAGAACAGAGTTATAGAGCAAGGAAACGGTTGACAGAAGACTTGAAAAGTTGAAGGTTGTATGAGTCAGGAAAACATGAAGATGGGAGAGAGTTCCAAAGGATTGAAGTGCGGGGAAAAAAACTAGATGAATAAAAGTTTTTAGAGCATGCAGGGACAGATACAGTAAACGAATGAGACTTAGCTGAATGACGAGTAAAACGAGAATGAATTTTAGTTGATGGAACTAGAGATGATAACTCCTTTGAGCAGTGACCATGATAGTATTTGTAGAAAAGAGAAAGAGATGCAACTTTACGAAGATGGGAAAGAGGTTCAAGCTTAGCAGATAGTCCAGGTCCAACAACATTTACAATGCGTTTTTGGACCTTGTCAAGAAGAGAAAGTGAGTCGTTAGAAGAACCAGCCCAAATATGACAACAGTATTCCATACAGGGACGAATAAGAGATTTATAGAGGTAGAGAATGGAATCAGAAGTAAGAAAATGGCGAGCATGATAAAGAGAAGCAACGTTAGCAGAAGCTTGGGCTATTAACTAGTGAAATAGGCATAATGGACTCAGCTCACAAGTGGTTTGAATCATTTTTAGTTAATTGTACACAAAATAGTAAAATTGGTAACTCATACTCTACAAACCAAAATGTCAAATATGGAGCATCGCAAGGTACAGTACTGGGTTTAAAACTATTTAATATCTATATGAGACCACTGTACAAATATCTGAACATAATCAATCTTAAAACTTTTGGATGATCATCAAACTCTCAAAGCATTTCTTCCTTCTTCGCAATATAATGCATTAGTTCTGGATATACCATTTAGATATGTCTTGGACACATATCTAAATGGATGAGCGAATCATTCTTATGCATTAACCAATCGAAAACAAAAATACTAATTATGGCACCACCTAACATTCAAAAAGATATTATTATTAAAGGTACTTTTGTTAACAAGGAATGCATTAGATTTGCTGACTCCACAAAAAGTTTGGGTGTGATACTTGACAATGAACTGTCTTTGAAAACACAGATAAATAAGATTGTGAAAAATTGTTACAATATAATCAGCAAAATATCCAAAATAAAACAATTCTTATCGCATAAAGATTTGTGCACCATAGTATGTTCATTAATTTTTTCACAGCTAGATTATTGCAACTCCCTCTACTTTGGAATTGAAAGGTCACTATTAAAAAAACTGCAGTCTGTTCAAAATTGTGCACCAAGACTAGTATTTAAAACCAGAATAGAAAATCAAAAATAACCAGGTATTTATCAATTTGCATTGGCTTAAAATTAGAGAAAGAATTTATTTCAAGGTTTTATTAATAATGCACAAGTCTATTATCCAGGAAGCACCAGCATCATTGTGTAATTTGATTCACTTCTCAACATCAGAGAGAACTCTGAAATTAAAAGAAATAAAATCCAACAATCGTTTTGGTGATTGGGCGGTATCCCACTATGGTCCTAGACATTGGAATATTCTTTCAAGTATCATATGAGGTGAACAAATCACATCTATTTATAAGAAAAAACTAAAATCATATTTAATGGTGAATAGCAAACTATTCCACCAGAAAACTCTAGAATATTAAAAATTATAAAGTAATATAATAATTTATTGCACAGCTGAGCAAGTGTTTTGCAAGCTTACCCTTTATTTGGGCAAAATACAGTAGCTGTGGGTAAACCCATGTATTTATTTATTTATATATATATATATATATATATTTATATGTATATATATATACATATTTATATATGTATATGTATATATATATATGTATATATATATGTATTTTATATATATATGTATGTATATATATATATGTATATGTATGTATGTATGTATGTATGTATGTATATATATATATATATATATATATATATATATATATATATATATATATATATATATATATATATATATATATATATATATATATATATATATATATATATATATATATATATATATATATATATATATATATATAGAGCAATAATAAGTTAATAAAAACACTTATCCAATTTTTAGTTTTCTTATACATGTTTCTATATAATATTTCTATATAATATACACAATCCATATGTAAGGACTCAATTTCCACAATTTACTCTTTTAATGTAAAAATACACTTTAAAAGAACCCTTTAATTTTAGAAGAAAAAAAGATTAACGATGGTATATTTATAGCGTTTAAAGATAGTTTTTAGTTTAATTATATTTGTTGGATCTTTTATCCTTAACATTTTTCCTTGAATAAGATTCATACCTTTATAGGTAAATATATAAGAATAAAACAAGAATAATGAAAGAAAAGATTGCTGCTATATTATATATATATATATATATATATATATATATATATGCTTGCTATATATATATATATATATATATATATATGCTTGCTATATATATATATATATATATATATATATATATATATATATATATATATATATATATATATATATATATATGTATACTCATAAATATGTCTCATACCAACTTACCATCTATATTTTTATTGAAAGATTCTTTTTAATCATAGCAATTTGAAATTAGAGTTTTATGTTTTACAGTAGTTTCTATATTTCTGTAGTTTCTATACTTTCCTTTTTTTAGCTTTTCAATGCTATTTCTATGACATCAGTTTTCTCATACCTTCCTCACCTTGTTAAGGTTTGTTATTTTGTTTTGTTTTATGTTTTTAGTTTTTGTTTAGTTAAAGTTCATTCTGCATTTCTGTTAAATAAAGTTTACTCTGTTTTAATTATTTTTTTACTGAATTCTAATGTGTAAAATTATGTCAAATTTATGTTATTGATGGTGAAAAGTTTTTCACCTTGAACAATATTTTTGATCTTCTAGAAGGGTCTCATTTTTGAATATTTTTAAAGTTTTCTATGGTCTATATAAAGACATGGTATGTGAGTTAAACACATCATTTAGAGCAAATCAAGTATTAAATTGATTGCTCAGAAACCTAGTGAAGCAAAAAACGCAATCATTATACATTAAGAAAATATACAGACAAATGGCTTTTTGGTCACCCAATTAAGCGATGTTTTGAAAACACTCTTCCTTCTTATTAAAATTACTCATTGACAAGATTGTTTGCCTGGAATTTGAAATATTCCTATCTCAAATTTTTCTTGTCAATTTGTGGATAAAGCCAAAGCCATCTTTGATAAGAGTTCATTGATGACATGATGCATATGAGTTGCAAAAAAACTCTTTGTTTTTTAAAAACTTAAATTAGCTATAAGTTAGTTATAAATCTATTTATATTTATATTGGAATGTTTATTTGTCATGTTGTAATTCCTAATGACTGTGTTACACTTATTATATATAGAAACAATAGTATTTTTAATTGTAATAATAATAGTAATGATAAAAACAGCAGTACTGAAAGTAATAAATATAAATGACAAAAACAATGAAGTTTCTATAGAAATAGTAAGAAAAAAAAAACAAAAAAAAAAAACTAAAGAAAGTAAACAATAATAGAAAATTATAATTTTTTTTTTTAATTGGTTTAAATTTATTTGGTTTTAAATAAAGAAATGAAGATAAATTTTGCTGAAGTTTAAACTTTTCAAACTCATTCATAATTCACACAAGACTTTGATTCCATTCACTGATGCACTAATGTGTAGTTAAATACTTACCATACCTCAAATTTTTATAGGGAGGTACATTTAGCTTTCCATTATTGATTTTTCTAGTTAAATGTGAATGTATAAATTGAGTTTTAGTGAAGAAGGTTGTAATAGAGGAAAGTAAATGTTTATTAAGAAAGTCAAAAACAAAAAGAAGAAATTTAACTTGTGCTGGCAAGGAAGGAATTTTAATTTTTTTAAAGAATTTTGAAGTTTCTGTATTATGGAGTTGAAAATTATTTATTCGGATTGATTGAGGCTGAGCTGATAACAACTTAAAAATATAACAGTTGCCAATTTGTCCTCAAACCTGACAACAGTAGTTGAGATAAGATTTAAAAATTGCAAAATACAGATTCTTAAAGGTAGTTTTATCAACATAATGGCAAATTATTGAAAGCTTGTTAGAGCAAATTATTTAGCTTGTTGAAGCATGCCATTAGCTTGATTAAGTTTTTTACGGAGTACATCTATATGAAAGTTCCATGAGAGGTTCGAATCTATAAAAATACCAAGATATTTAACAACATGTGTTGGATATAAATGTCTATTATTAATTTTAATTTTAGTTATATGATTGTTGTATAAAGTTTTTTGTCTTGGAGATGAAAAAATTATTAGTTAAGTTTTTTTCAAGTTCAGAGAAATTAAGTTTGCATTTAGGCAAATTAAAATGCTCTAAGAAATAAGCAATCTATTATGTTTGTTTATTTTTTTGAGCATTTGTATATTCTGTTGTAATTTAGTTTTACATTTTTTTAATGTTATATTTATAAAAAAAAATATGCATTGCGAGTAGACCCTAATTAAAAAAAACAATTCGGTACCTAATTTCTGAGAAAATTCAAATATTTTGAATTATTAATATTTTTTTTTAGTTTTTAATGGTTATCAATTTAATTATCAAAGGTGATAAGTTGTGTTGAATATATTAAAAAAAAAAAGTGCAAATATATTAGGAGTATGCATTGAAAATGAGCGTTTGTAAGGTATATATCTGATTCGGCTTTAATAAATATTACCTGAAAGCTAAATCTTTAAGATGGGTCAACAACCAAAACAACAACAAACAACAAGAAACAAAAGGTTACAAGATTGATTTTCTGCCCATGTAATCTAAAATTCAAGTTTTTATTTATTTTGGGTTTATTAGATTTGAATATAATCAGTTTAGTTTTGCTACAGTTGAGAGAAAGCCACTGTTAATTTTTTTTAAATAATATCATCAGTGAAATGGAAAGTGTTTGCAAACGGAGTTATTAAGGTCATTAAAGTAAAAAAATAAAAAAGTCCTAATACTGAGCTGGACTTTAAACCCACAATTTTTGTTCGACAACAAAACTGATTTATTTACCGTAAAAAAATATTGCAATATTGTTGGCATTCCTATATTGACAAATAACAACCCACTTACTCTCAGATAAAAACTAAAAGCACATTGTAAATGCAATTAGACCTGCTTTGTCTGCCACTCCATTTGTTGTAAGGTTGCATTCCTTTCTTTTTTCTACAAATACAATCATGGTCAATGCTCGAACAAGCTATCATCTCTATTATGATAAACTAAAACTCATTCTTGCATGCCTTTTTATTCAACAAGTTGCATTCTTTTACTATATCTGTCCCTTCATGCTATAAAAACTTTTATTAATCCAATTTTTTTTACTTGAACATCAAAAAAACCTTATAACTCTTACCCATCTTTATGTTTTCCTTTTTTGTACAACTTAAAACTTTTTAAGTCATCAGTTAACCGTTAACTAGTACTTGACTTATTCTCCATTTTAAAGTAATTCATAACATAATAGTTTAAAAATGTGTAAGTATATGCCAGTATTTAATAAAAAGTAAATGTAAGCATAAAATTATAATAAACTAAGTAATATAATTTTTTTTCTAGGGTTTACAAAAAGTCTCATTCTTAGCTGGAAATTCAATGACCCCTAACAACATCTTTAGGAAGATGTAACTACATCTGGTAATTTTTCTTCAAGTTTAATAACATCTAGAAAAATTTTCTCCAGATGTAATTACATCTGAAAAAAGATTATATGTACCTACATCTGGTTAAACAATGTATTTTATTTATTACTTTATTCCAGATGTATCTACATCTGAAAAAACCTATATATGAAACTACATCTGGTTAAAATAATGCTTTATAATTTAATAATTTTATAAAATCTTGTAAATATAATTTAATAATTTTATAAATCCTGTTATTCTTAACATAATTATTCTTAACATAATTAAAAAGATGTAACTACATCAGTAAAATCTCCAGATGTAGTTGCACAGATGTTGTTATACTTTGATAATTAAAAAAAACATAAATATATCTGCAGTTATCATATAATTTTTACACAGGTGTTATTAGCCATCAATGAAATTTCAAATGTTGTTGGACAGTTGTTATTATCCTCAGTGTATTTACAGATGATTTTGGACAGATGTTATTATACCTTAGTGTATTTACAGATGTTGTTGGACAGATGTTATTATACCTCAGTGTATTAACAGATGTTATTAGACATAGAAAAAACTGATGTTGTTATTAGACATAAAAAAAATTGATGTTGACCGGTTTATTTTAAACACCTTAAAATGTTTACTTAACAGTTGGTTATTGAAATGAACTTGAAGTGGAAATTTTTTATAATAGGTATTAAGCAAAATTTTTATTTTAGGACTTTGGTTCCACTGAAGTTGATGCAGGTAAGATTTAATATCAATGTATTGGAAAAATCTTTTTCTTTATTATTTATATTAGCATCATGCAAAGTATTTATAGGTAGCAAGAAAGGAGGGGGGGGGAGAGTAATACTACAATTTTTTTTTCACTAAGTAATTTTTTTTTTAATTCTTTTTAAACTATGGCTGAAGATTTAGTTGATTTACGTTTGATATATTTATTGCACTATTTTTTTTTTTCTCAATGAGCTTTTTTTCAACCCAGTCATAAAGAGATTTCAAACATATACAACACGGAATAAAAACGTAATAGTAAAAGCGCCTTCAGATTAGCCCCTTCAGATTAGCACTAGATTTCATACTGGTTTAGGGAGCTGTGAGGGCTTCTGTACATACACTACATGATAAAAAAGAACATGTAATTAAATTCTGTACATACACTACCTATTAAGGGAGAACATGTGCGGGAGTTGCTGCTACATAAACTGAGGGTTTAATATAGGGCAGTGGTTAGTTTTTTTCATTATTCTTTGTTTTTTTCTTCTTTTTTCAAAAAATCTTAATGGATTTAAGTCTCCAAAAAAAACCAGTTACTGTTAGTAACTGATTTTTAAAAATAAGTTAGTAAATATAGTTATCAGTTAGCAAAAAAAAAATCAAAAAAAATCTATTGTTCTATAATAATAATAATAATCTGTATAATTTAATTGATGAAACAAATTAAATTTTATCCTTTTTTTAAAAAACCACAAAAGCGTATCTTTATAGACTGGAAAAGTCTATAAAGCTTTTCCAGTCTATAAAAGTAAACTTTCATTATTTAGAATTATTCATTGTAGGTTTTTTTTTTATAAAATAATTTCAATTCAATATTCTATGTTTTTTTAGAGTTATAATTTCACTTTGTAAATGACAACGATTTTTATTTTTTTTCTTTACAATTTGACAATGGCTGTTTTGATGTTTTAAAAATTTATATGCAACTAAAAAAATTGTTAAATTTTGAATAACTTTTAATCATTATTCTTTTTTAAAGTTTTTATTTTATGCAAAAGTTTTAAATAAAATAAAATCAAAAATTAATTATAACTATCATTGAAAAATAAACCCTTTATGTGTAAATTAAATGATATATTTAAATTTTTTTTAGGTATGTATTTTTTATGATAAATTTAAACGTTTGAAACAATTTTTCCTTGTCATTATAAAAAGCTTTAAAATTTTTTTTTAAGTTACTTTAATTTATAAGTTAACTTTAAATAAATTAAATTAAGTCTTCCCATGATTTAATTGCTTTATTTTTTTTTGTTTCTATTTTTACAAAGAATTGTTTAAAAATTTTTATTGCAATAATCTAGATCTTCCTGTATTTATGAATGGTAATGTACTTTATAAGTCATCTACCATTCGTATTCTAGCATTAACTCTTACTCCTGATCTCTCTTGGAAACCATATATCAAATGGATTGCTAAATTTGCATCTGCTTCAAAGTTGCATTTCTTTTTCTTTTTCGACACTCCCTTACTCAATATTCTATTCTTTATCTCTTTAAATCAGAAATCCATCCTTGCATATCTGGGGTGAATCATCCATGATATATCTGGGGTGTATTCCAATATAAAGATATTACCTAGATATCGAACTTTGCTGTTTTTAGTGAAGCCAATTTAATATTACGTAATGCGTTGATAGCCATTATTATATTGGGCAAAATACTTTCAGTTTTAAAGTCTAAATTGGATTGGAATTGAAGATGATTAGTTCAGAGATGATAAGTTTGGTGGCCTACAGGCTATATATACTTGTGTTGGTCAAAGCAGAAGTTGAAAAGCTAAAATAAACGGCTGTTTTTATAGGCACAAATTTAAAAAAAATATATCTTTTTAAAAACATATTTGCATTCAGGACTTTAAACAAAAACATGTATTATATTTTATTATTTTATGTAACTAAAACAAATATTTATAAATCCTTGAATTATACAGGGTTGCCACCAAATCAGGGAAATCAGGGAATTCAGGGAAAATCAGGAAAATTTAGATACAATCAGGGAAAATCAGGGGAAAATGATTGATTTAGGAAAAAATCAGGGAAAATCAGGGAACTTTTTAATTTTTCTTTAATGTTTTGATATTTTTTCTAATAAAAATCTTACTTTTCAAGGGTACCAGGGTTAATGTTTAACATTTTACCAATTTAAGGGTACCAGGGTTAATGTTTAACATTTAACAAGAAACTTAATCATATTGTGTTTACATTAATTCAATTTTTGCAACTCAATCCTTTATTTGAAAAATGGCTGGTAATAAGCAGTGTAAATAAGTCTGCCAAGTGCAAAATATGAAAAGTTGAATTTAATTTGTCAAATATGCAGATGAGTTATGATAAGTTACATGGATGGCAAAAAACATGCACAAAAGTCAAAGCCAGTATCTCGCCTGCACAGTCTACACCTATAAAGCAAGCACTTCAAACAGTATATTAATGTGATAAAAGTTGTACAGAAATCTACTCTGTTTTAAATGCAATACAAAATAATTTTTCATTAAACTCATGTAATGAAAATGGCCTACTTTACCAGAAAATGTTCCCTGATAGCAATATTGGTAAATCTTATGAAATGAGTGAAACAAAACTTGGTTATATAATTAATTTTGATAATGGGCCTTAATTTTACAGACTTTTAACTAAAAATATACAAAAATCTCCTAATTATACTCTTTCACTTAATAAAAGTCTGGACGATTTTTTTAAAAATGGCCAAAAAGATCTAAATATTTAGTTATGGAACAGCCATCTAAATCATGTTGAATCCAGATACTTTGACTCTAAATTTTTAGGTCACCCTACAGCAAAGAATTTACTTAAAAGTATGACTCAACTAAGTATAGAAGGTACAAATGTGAACTGTTCCCTTCTTAATCTTCTTGAAATACAGCATGATCAACAAGAGCTACCTAAACTTCTTAACGTTGGAAGTTGTAACCTTCATCTAATACATGGTTTCAAATCAGGTTTTCAATCTGCTGAATGGAATAAGAAGTTAATGAAAGCATCATACAACCTTTATTTATGATTCTTCGGCTAGAAGAGCTGATTTTGTAACTGTTACTGAATGTGAGTGTTTTCCTTATGCATTTTGCTCAAAACATTGGGTGGTAGATCAAAAAGTTGCAGATAGACTTTGTTTATTTTGGGAGAATGTTAAAAAAACTAAGTATTGGGAGACTTTTCTTAAAAGTAAGCAACCAAAATGAAAGAGCTATGACAAGTGTTCGGGACAGAGTTGTTAACAAGGCCAAAAGTATCAAGACCAAGGCCAAGGCCACACGTTACAAGTCCAAGATCAAGGTCAAAGGTTACAAGGCCAAGGACAAACCGAAGGCCATGAGTTTAAGGCCAAGGTCAAAATTAAGAGTTTCAAGGCCAACGTCTACGCAAACTTTTTCAAGATTAAATACTTTAACTTTTGCCTTGCGTTAAGGCTAATTATTAACACAACTGTAAGTAGCAAGTGGTGTGACAATAAAACCACATTTTTTAAAAATAGACCAAGGGTATGGGCAGAATTAAACAAAATCAATAAGAAAATTCGTTTTTTTTTTATAGGCCAAGACCAAAATTTTCAATTTTAAGACCAAGTTGAAAGCTAACAGTTTCAAAGCCAAGATTAAGGCCAAGGCCTCAATTTTTGTTCTTAAGGCAAGGTCAAGGCCAAGGACTAGCAACTCTGATTCGGGGGAACAAAAGATGAGTTAACTTTGACTAAATTGTAGTTTTTTGGTTACATTGCAAGTTTTTTGCAAAAAATCTTACTGAGATATCAAACCAATGCCCCAATGATTCCTTTTCTTTTTGAAGATTTGTTCTCAACTGTTAAATGTTTAATGGGTTTAATTATAAAACAAGATATCTTTAGCAGCATCGTTAATGGCAGGCAACTTCAAAAATATGATTTTACAAAAAAGGAAAACTTTCTGCTATTAAAATTAATGACAATTGGATTTGCTGCAGAACATGACATAATCGAATTGAGGATAAAAGATGCATTATCATTATTTAAAAGATTACGTTTCATTATCATTGGAATTCTGAAAAAAATATTTGAAAGAAGTTTGAATCGAATTTTTTTTCTGAAAGCAACTGGTTGCATCAGTCCAGTGTCAAATTTTTCTCAACAAAAAGCTGATCTTCATCAGATGAAATCTGTACTACATCTAGTTCTTTCTTGCTCACATATTACTTCAAATGAATGTGATCAAGCTTTCATAAAATTTTTAAAGTTGTTAGAGGAAAGTTCATCTATTCTTTTACTTGTATTCAAATATTTTTACACTGGAAATTGTTTAAACAAGTTTCATTTTGAAACCATTAAAGTAAATGTAGATTATAAGATTTTGTCAAAAGTTTTGATATTTGTTTTGGGCAAGCATCAATTGAGAGAGGTTTCAGTATTACCAGTAATATGCTCAGTGAAAAAATGAAAGGAATGTCACTTATATCTCATCGCACTATCAAGGATTTTATGGAGTCAAACAAATTGAAGGCTAACAAAATAGAATTAAACAATGAAATAATAAATGCTGTTTGTAGTGCATCATTACAATATAAAAACTATTAGGAGGAAAATAGAAAACTCCAAGCAAAAGAAAATAGCGTGATAATGCTTTTAGATCAAGAAATATTGGGACTTAGAGAAAAGCAAAAATTATTAAAAGATGTATGTAAAACATACAATTAGAAATTTATTACATTCATTACATTTTTTTGATTATCTTTTTAGGATACAAGATAATTTCATTATCTTGTATCCTAAATAAGTCTGACAGGTTTTCAATGCCTATTGAACATATCCGTTTTAAATATACCCTGGTTCAAAGAAAAATTTCATATGTTGATTGAATTATTTGATTATTTATTTTAATTTTCAAATAAATTGATTGGTTCATTACTCATTGGGGGATTATAGTATCTGTTTTTTTAGAGGTAAAAATACTCTGGGGTTATTGGAGAAGTTTAAATGTTAAGTTTGGGCATTTGAATGCTGGAAATATCAGGTGGAAATAAGCAAAATTCAAGGGGAAAAATCTAGAAAAAATCAGGGAGAAAAAAGCAAAACTTTAGCGAAAAATCAGAAAAAATCAGGGAGCAAAAAGCAAAATTTTGGCAAAAAAATCAGGGAAAATCAGGGAATTTTGTTCCTAAATAATGGTGGCAACCCTGATTATAGTAACTGATTCGTTTTTTGTCTTAAACCAATTGATAACTTTCTTATTAATTTACTGAAGACTTTAGTAGTATATTTCTGGGCATATTTAAACACCAGAGTTCTGAAAAATATTAACTTATCTTTCTATCAAACTTGCTTCATTTGTTTTAACATTTTTGTGGCAATAAAATTTTATATGTTTACTTGAAAATTCATTTGCAAATTTCAAACCTTCAAACTCAAAGAAAGATTTAATTTCATTAAATACAATACTCATTAAAATCAAAACACAAGTCATGTGGAGTTACCCAATTTTAACCTATTTTACCTAGAAAATACCTAACCAAACCCTCAGTTGATGTAGCAGCACTCCATTGTGAGTCAGGCTATTGGTCAGTTGATGTAGCAGCACTCCTTTGCAAGTCAAACTATAAGATAGTCGATGTAGCAACACACCACGCATGTGGTACAGTTAAAAAAAAAAATGAAAACATTCAGAATGTTTTTATTTTTAAAAAATAAAATAAAAAATTCACAATGGTTTTGAAAATATTCTAGTCATTTAATTTGCATTTTTGTGGTTTAATTACTTCCCGCAATTAAACTAATGCATTTTGACATAATCTAACCTTAACTTTATCAGCTTTAATAACATAAACAAGATACGAGCCATTTTTTAACACAAACATGTTTTTTTACCTGTAAACAATATGAATATATATATATATTTATATATATATATATATATTTATATATATATATATATATATATATATATATATATATATATATATATATATGTATGTATATATATATATATATATATATATATATATATATATACATGTGTATATATATATATATGTATATATATAAATATATATATATATATATATATATATATATATATATATATATATATATATATATGTATATATACATGTGTATATATATATATATATATGTATATATACATGTATATATATATATATATATATATATATATTATATATATATATATATATATATATATATATGTGACTTTTAAAAATTACTTTTTAGGAAGAAAATCTGGAATTATTGCATCAGCCATGTTTGTTTCCAGAATATTTAGCAGGTATTAATTTATGTATTTGTATTCAGCATATTGATATCTGTAAAGAACATAAAAATATAACTTAATAATTAATATTAAGCTAAAATTAAAAATAGTTACAACAAAAAGTTGGTTTTTTCACTTGTCACCTTTGCTACTTGTTCTACTCAGCAAAATTACATGTTACATGTCTACTTTTTACACTGTAATATGTGCTACAATGTACTATGTGTTAAAATGTACTATGCGTTACACTGTATTAAGTGTTACAATGTACTTTGTGTTACAATGTACTATGTGTTACAATGTATTATGTGTTACAATGTACTATGTGTTACACTGTACTATGCATTACACTGCACTAAGTGTTACACTGTACTATGTGTTACACTGTGCTATGCATTACACTGTACTAGGTGTTATGGTGTACTATGTGTTACACTGTACTAAAATGTACTGATTGGTAAAATGAAAATTAATACTAATTAAAAAAATTTAAAATTTTTTAGAATCTTTTTAATTATTTTTCAACTCTTTTTAATTATATTTAAATATCTCTAAATTTCTATTTAAAATTGTAAATAAAAGTAAAAATAGTAATTAATAATTAAAATAATTAGTATATGTTTATATTAAAATATAAAATAAAAATATTAAATATTAATATATTAAATACAGTTACCTATTAAAATTATAAATAAAGTTATAATGAAAATTAAAATGATTAAATATAACAATAAAATAAATTACTAAATGATCAAATAAATGTTGGAAACATTTATTTGATCATTTATTTTTTTAATCATTTTTTTTTTCCTAATTTTTTTCAAAATATAAAAAAGTTTTTTTTTTTTTTAAACAAATGGAAATTAAATAAACTAATAGTAGAAAAGTGCCTAAATTTTTTTTCTCTGCAGTTTATTATGGGGCTACATCTGTGATAAATGTGGAAGAAAAATATCCCTTTTGATGTCTGGAGGATGTGTTGCAATTTCAACATTTATGTTTGGATTTTCATTTAATTACCCCTGGGCTGTTGTAACAAGATTTTTACAGGGTTTATCGATGGGTAATTTTTTTTTGATAATTTTAGAATTTAATTGAATATAAATATTTTAGAATTGCATGAATAATATAAGATGCTCTTACACACACACACACACACACACACACACACACACACACACACACACACACACACACACACACACACACACACACACACACACACACACACACACACACACACATACACACACACACACACACACACACACACAAATAAACACACACACACACACATATATATATATGTATATATATATATATATGTATATATATATATATATATATATATATATATATATATATATATATATATATATATATATATATATATATATATATATATATATGTATTTTCCTTTTTGTTAAGAAAATACCATGCAAAATAATTTTTTTTATAGCTTTGCTGTTTAAAATTTTAGCTAACATGTTTGTTTTCTAAAACAAATCATTTTTGGAAAAAACTGCTTGGTGTTGCTCAATTTTAATCAAAAATGCCAATTCTGACCGAAAAATAAAATATCACCACACACTCTTCTGTTGTAAAATACTCTGATTATGATAAAAATAATTATGAAAATAGCAAGCGTTGGGTTTAATTTTTGCTGTTTTGTTCGTTTTATGTTAGTGCATATTAGTAGGAGACATTTACATATAAAAATTGGACGCGGAAAACATTGTAGTGCAGAAAAACGAGAACTGATCCAAAAGTTGATATCAACAGGGAAATCTTATAGAGAAGTTGGTCATTTAGTTAAGTGTTCCTATAAAATGATAAGAAATGCCATAAAATTTCAAGAAAAGCCTGAAACACGTGGTCGAAAACGTTTTATTTCAACATTGCTGGCCAATCGCTTAGTCCAACAGGCTAAAGAGGAACCTTTTAAAAAAGCTACCGAGCTAAAAAAGGACTTTAACACTGATGCACAGTACAAACAGTTTGGAGTTGTCTGCGAGTTAATGGATTAAAAGCCTGTAGCCCCAGAAAAGTTCCACTTCTAAGTGCCAAACAAACGCAATACGCTTTACAAAGTGTTGTAAAGCGTATTGCGTTTGCTAAAAAACACTCAAATTGGCCACTCGAATAATGAAGAAATATTTTATGGAAAATAATGGAGGAATATTTTATGGAAAAAAAAGCTCTCGGAATTATGTCAGAAGACCGCCAAATGCAGAACACAATCTAAAATATACCATCAAAACTATTTAACATGGAGGTTATAGTATAATGATATGGGCATGCTTTTCTTGTTATGGAGTAGGGCCCATTCATCACATTACTACTATTATGGATCAATATGTTTATGTTGATATATTGGATAAAGTGATGTTGCGTATGCAGACTATGAAATGCTGTTGTCAAAGAGTGTTCCAACAGGACAATGACCCAAAGCACACTAGCAAAAAAACAAAGAATTGGTTTGAGGAGCAAAGTGAACATTATGGGGTGGTCAGCACAGTCGCCAGATCGTAACCCAATTGAGAATTAGCGGGTTGATGTAAAGGAGGTGGTTGCTGCTGCCAAACCCACTACGAAGGAGTCACTTTGGAACGTAGTTAAGGAGACATGGTGCGAAATTCCGCTAAAGCAATGTCAGGACTTGGTGAAGAATTTTACAAGGATTCTGAATCCGCAAAAAAAAAATTAAAAAAAATGTCTTACTGGGTGGGTCAGCACTTTTCTGAATGGAAAAATGACTAAAATATGACTACTTAACAGAGGGAAATAATAATTGAAAAAATATATATATATTTTTTTAATATTTGAAAAACTTAATAACTATTATGTTGAACTTTAGGAAATTTTTATATTTAGTGCAAAAATTCATAAAAATAAACACAGATAGTGAGTTTTTTTGAAGGGCATTTTTACAAATATAACCCACTTTTTCATATTTTAAACATTAAATGTGAGGGTAGAGTGCATCTTTTTTTCCTTTTTTTATCAAATTTAAAAAATCAAGGGCGTACATTTTTGTGAATAATTTTATAAGGAATCTGAATCTGCATAAAAAAATGAAAAATTAAGATTGTAGACGGGGCTTAGTTTTGAACGGTAAATTTAATGCTTAGTTTTGAATGGTAAATTGACTAAAATGTGACTAATTAAAGAGAAAATATATATTAAAAAAAATAAAAATTGTAATATTTTTAATAAACTCAATATAAACAATGTTGAGTGTGTGCCGTCTTTTCCTGTTTTTATTATGTTTTAAATAAAGGGTAGTTTATTTTTGTAAATAATTTCACAAGAAATACGAATCCGTAAAAAAAAAAAAACAACAACTGTCTTGCTTGGAAGATCTGCTTTATTATAGAAAAAACGGACAAAATTATGTCAAAATAAAAAGTTATTATCAGGGCTGTGGAGTCAGAGTCGCAGAGTTGCAACATTTATAGCGGAATCGGAGTCACCAAACAAAATCGCGACTCCGACTCCAATAGTAAAACTACTCTGTATTGTACGTGCATGTAGAAAACATGCAATTAACATTATGTTCATACTAAACCTCAAAGAAGGTTTTATAAATTTGTCAAAAAAAATTTTTTTTTATCTTATTGCATAATGTTTTTTAAAGAATTCAAAGAATTTTTCAAAAATTTTGCTTTGGAGTTGTAGTCGGAATCGGAGTTGGAATTGCAGTCGGAGTTGTACTCTAAAAATTTCAACTACTGGATTCGGTTTTTTGCTCATGAAACTCCTGCTGACTTCTTGTGCTCTTATATAACCTTCTCTCTTTTCATGAGAATATGTTTTTGAACAAGCCTCTGTAACCTATATAAAACATTAAAAATGATTTAGTTATTGAACATTTTTAAATAAATTATTGTATTCTTATAATTAGATAATAAAGAAACCTGCTTAACACAACGTTCAATGGATTGTGAATGACATGGCCAATCTGGAACAACCATAGACTGGTAAAAATATATTCTGATTTCAAAGGTTGTGAGGCTTGTGGTAAGAAGTGGTTTGTGTAATGAATCTTTCTACTCAATTAGATTGGTCAGTTTATCAGCACCTGTGTTTATACATAGGGTTATGCGATTTCTCAGAATTTTTTCCTTCGTCAATCTCAACTTCGCTAATCTCAAAGTGAAGAATTTTCTGGGCTTGTTCTTCATCAGCAGTGCTTTGATTCCAAAGTCCTTTTTGATTTAAAATGCCCAAAAGTGAATTGAGATTGCTTGAATTTGATGCACATGGAAACTTAAAACTTAATAAATTTGAGTTTCTAATACCATCTTCTAGACCTTTATGCAGATAAGAAATTAAATCGGACAACTGGTTTTTCTTGCAATAACACACTGTTTTAAAGCACTCAGAAATTCAATGCTCAATGAAAAGTTTCACATGTCAAACATAAATGTCAATGCTGCATCCGCAGAAATTAATGTAACATCCTTGCAACAAAGTGACTCAATGGCTAATTATACTGGCAAAAGTGCTGAGATAGTAGCTAAAACTGTTTCAAAATCAGTTTCTGTATAGTTTATATTAAGTTTAAATCTATATCTGAAATTCGAGCTTTACATAATTCTGTAGTACCTCATTTTTTAACGGTGAATGTTTAAATATTTGCACAATTTTTCTTACTTTTTGTATAAGGGGACCAATTTGACTATATGCTATTTCTATATCTTGTTCTAGTATATTGTAATCCATTCTTCGTATGTGTTTGAAATATTTTCAAAGGCACCTTAGTTTTTGTACTCTTCAGCATCTGAATATGAGTCAAAGTCTATTGATTCATTTAAGCAAATGGTTCTTTCTTTTTTAAATAAATCATCTACAACTGCAAGTTGAATTGAATGGGCCAAACACAACTGTTGAGCAACCGGTATTAATTTGCCTACTTTTTGTATAACTGCTGCACCATCATTTGTTAAACAAACAATATTCTTTTCTAAAGACACAGGTAAACTTCCATTTATTCGGAGAAGTCCTAAATTCCAAAACTTTGACTCCGTGTGAAGATTCATGTTTATGTATTGCCGGTTCCTTAAGGAAGTCCACTCATCAAAAGTAATACTAAAACCTTTTCCATTTAATTTATATTCTGATATTTCTTTAATTACAAACTGCGTAATAGTTTTGCTATAACTAGTGACAATTTTTTGTATAGCCATGGCTGCTTTTGGAAGTTCATCACTTAAATTAAATGCTTTTAATGATTTTTGAGATTCTGAATGGAAGCCCATCAAGTGCTGTCATTCTTGATAAGATTGCTGCCAGCGAGTCTTCTGTAGTTTTTTTATGATATTTAGTAATTTTTGGAGGAGGCAATTAAGATATTGAACTATATTCACCAAGAGGTTCAATAGCATCTCTTTTTTGTAATATTACATTATGCTTTGTTTTTAAATGTGAATAAAGGCCGCTTGTTAAGCCACCTACTGTTTTTATAATTTCTGCGCACTTCTTTCACTTTGCACTATGCCCTTTTTCATCTTTGAGAAAAAAAACCAAACAGAATATTTATCTCCGCCTTTTGAATGCTCAATAAACTTTTTAATTTCACTCTCTATCAGCTAAATTAAAATATAATCTCAATTTGTAAATATGTGTTACATATTTTATCCTCATAATGTTTATACCAGTCACATAATGTGACTGATATAAACATTAAATAAAATGAATTTAAATATTTAAATTTAAACTTAAAAATGTTAATTTTTAAACTTACCAAAGTTATACTTGGTAATTACTTTTAAAAAGTATCAAAGAAATAGGTATATAAAGATTTTTTAGTTTGTATAAATGTGAACTCATTTTTTACTTTTAGATCCTCGCCGTATAACTAAAAATGTAAAATCAAGAACTCAATAACTAAAGAATGTTTATCACATTGCTTTAAAGTATAAGCACTTATAGTTGTTTCAAAAAAGAATAAAAATAACAACCCGTAATTATAAACCTTCCGGGAATTTAAATGATTTTAAAAATGAGTTAAGTAATAATGCGAAGAGTTTCATCATAGAGTTGTCTGTGAATCAGAGTTTGACAACTTTACTTTAGTATACTAGGTTTTTACTCAAACAAAGTGTTTAAACACATGATAGAATAAAAAATATTTTTAAAATAAGCAACAAATGTTTACGAATTTTGGATTCCCTACCTAGGTCCACCTTTCTAGGAATGTTTTACCTTAATTTGAAACCAGCAAATGAAATACACACCAACTATAAGTTCAATAATCAAGCATAGGTTTCTAAGGTTCTTATCTGTTGAAAAATGAATTGAAACCCACAATCTACAGAAACGGTTCGTTGTAGTAAGCTATCTTGAATAAGAAATATGACCAATATTAAGGTTTTAAAATAATTAAATTTTCAGGTAAATTTCCAGATTTTATTGCTGTTACAATTCTGTATCCGTAAGCTTGATCAGCCAAAAGATCCTTAACTATTTTGTCTGGTAAAACAATAAGCGGTTCACCTAAAGTTACCATTTCAAAGTTCTTGCTTATTTCCAGATCCGTAACTGTATTCAGTAGTTTTCCTAAATCACTGGACCATTTTTTGTTTGAAAGTGTTTTTCTGTCTAATTCAACTACTAGATGTCTAAGGGGTAGTTCATTTGTATGAAGAGCACATACTAGCCAGTTCAACATTTTATCAAGTTTTAATTCGACATGTTATGACACCTCCTTCCCATCCAGTATTAACATTTATCAGTAGTTATCAGTAGTTGTGAATAATTATTAGATAATAAAATTATATTACTTAAGTAATATAATTTTAATTAACAAATTTAACGTCGTTCAAATGAAATTACAGATGACAATTTTTTATATAACAATGTTTTCCCAATGTATTCTTATTTCCTATGTACCTATTTTATCTTGTAGACAAACACAATTGTATACAATTATATAACAATTGTTATTTATTTTTACGGATTCGTATTCCTTGTAAAATTATTCACAAAAATAAACTTCACAAAAATAAACTTCACAAAAATAAACTACTATTTTTAAAATCTAATAAAAATGGGGAAAGACGGCAAACACTACAGCTACAATGACTCTAAAATATAAAATAATGGCATTAATATTTATAAAAACAACGTTCACAAAAACCCACTTTATGTGGTTATTCTTACAACTTTTTAACCAAATATGAAATTTTCATAAAGTTCAACATTGTTTATATTGAGCTTATCAAAAATATTACAAATTTTTTTTTTTTAATATATATTTTCTCTTTAATTAGTCACATTTTAGTCAGTTTACCGTTCAAAACTAAGCATTTCCCTGTCTACAATCTTAATTTTTTATTTTTTATGCAGATTCAGATTCCTTATAAATATCTTAACAAAAATGTACGCCCTTGATTTTTTAAATTTGATAAAAAAAGGAAACAACAATGCTCTCTACCCTCACATTTAAAATATGAAAAAGTGGCTTATTTTTGTAAAAATGCCTTTCACAAAAAAATTTTTCCTAACGTTGAACATAGTATTTATTAAGTTTTTCAATAATTTAAAAAAAATTTTTTTTCAATTATTATTTACCCCTGTCAATTAGTCATATTTTAGTCATTTTTTTTTTTTGGTTAATTTACCTCCCCAATGCCGAGAAGGCCACTACAGACGAGGAGGCTACTTAATTGTGGTTATAACCCTCTTTCAACTCTATAACTTCGAAACATGAACCTTGACGAACAAGGCTGCTTGGCTGAGTGGCAAGTTGAGCACTGTACTACCAGGGGCATGGTGCGGGTTAAACTCTAAACCTTTGCTTATGAAGCGAGCGCTCAACTACCAAATTAATACATAATAATAGTGAATTTCTAAATACTATATTACATAACTATACATAAGCATATACTTTATACAACTTAATAAAAATTAGCATTATTTATCTATTACAAATAATTAAAATATCAGTATTTAGATAGACAAAGATAGAAAATAAGATTAGAAAAAACTAACCTCTGCTAAATTATTTCTACCAAAAAATAGAATAGGCACTGATTCAGGGGCCGATCCAAACCATCTAGTTAGAGAGGGGGAAACTTTAAAATTTTTATGATTTTTCCAGACCATCTTGCAAAAAAAAAAAAGAGAAAGGGAGGTGGGTTGATGTGGTTGATCAAGATCTAGTAAAGTAAAGAAGAAGGGATGCGGTTTTCAGGTTTTTTTAGATGTTTTAGTTAATTTTTTTAGAATGAGCGAAATTGAAAAGTCGTCTTTTTCAAAATGAATGACCTTTGTGAACTTAATTCGAAATTAAAATAAAAATAAAAGCTTTTAGAAAGGGGCAAAAATACTTAACAAACTACTGATAAATATCTATTTAATTTTGAGAAAAGCGATTGTTAGTAGAATTCTAAATTTTTATTTATAGGTAGTAAAAACTTGTGTCATGAAAGGAACCATAGGTTCCTTCTGTGACACAAGTTTCAATAACTATAACAAAAAAGGTTATTATTTCACATGCATCATCTTTACCTTTTTTTTAAAAAAGGAATGACTTTTTTGACTAATAATCCTATGATTTTTTATACAAATGAGAAATTTGAATGATCATAATCCCCTATGAATAACTTCCCTTTTTAAAGTAATAAATTATTGTTTATACCTTAAATAATTTTTTCAGGCTATATTTTTTCTAATCCCAATATGTTATAATCTCAATTAATAATGTTGAACTTTTGTAGGAATTGTGGTGATTACAAAAGCTTATATGTCAGATATATGCGATGACAGTAACTTAGCAACTGGTTTGGGTGTAGTATTCTCAGGCTACAATGTAGGATTAGTAATTGGTCCCAGTATGGCTGGTAAGTTGTTTTATATTTATTGAGTTTAAACTTTAAGTTGTTAAATTTTGAACTTTATTAATATTATTTTAATAATTTACACACATTTTTTATTATTACATTTATTATATTTCTTGTCTAGTAAGTCTGCATAAAAATCTTAAAGTTGATCTAACACATGTTTTATAAAAGTGATATATATATATATATATATATATATATATATATATATATATATATATATATATATATATATATATATATATATATATATATATATATATATATATATTGGGTTGACACGGAAAAATCCGGTCATCTTTAAATTGAGATTTCTCCAAAATCACAAATGCTTTTTATTTAATTTTTTTTTTTAATTAAACCTTACTTCTTTATCTTAAATAGTGTTGATAAATTTTTGTTTACAAATTAAAATGTTTTGAGAACAAATTGAGGTGCATAAAAAAGTTGTGAATTTTTTTTGCAAAAATCCATCGACTTCCTATCGCTTGATTGCTAAACGCACAAATGTCCCAAAATCTACAGTCATAGATATTATTAATAAGTTCAAGACTACTCAAAGCTTCGAAACATAACTTGAAAGTGGAAGAAAAAAAACTTTCCATAAATCCAAAAAGGTAAAGTCGATTTTACGTTCAATAGCGAGAAATCCAAATCAGTCACAGCGAGATCTAGCAAGAAAGTTTAAGACTTCTCATTCTTATATCAAAAAAGTACTTAAAAAATGCTGGAATTAAAGCATTTCATAAAAAAAATACACCTAAGAGAAGCTTAAATTGTGAAATTAAAGGAATTCAACGCGCAAAGAAGTTGGTTAAAATAATGGCGGATAAAAATATGTGCATAATTGAAGACGACAAAATGTACTGCAAGGCGGATTTTTCAAAACTTCCTGGTCAACAGTTTTACTATGAAAACAAAGATAAGCCTGTCGATGATTAATTTAAATATATTAGACGAGAAAAATTTGCGTCCAAGTTCCTTGTGTGGCAAGCGATTTGTAGCTGTGGTATGCAGTCCTCTTGTTTTGTCACTAAAAAGACCTTGACTGTCAATCTCTACATCAAAGAATGCCTCCAAAAATGACTTTTGCCTTTTATAAAAAACACAAATACCGATGTCTCTTTGGCCCGATTTTGCTGCCTCTCACTATTCTAAAAAAGTTTTACAGTGGTGCAAAGATAATAATGTGAAAATTGTTCCTAAATATGCGAATCCTCCAAATCATCCTGAAGAGCGCAAGATTGAAGATTTTTGGGCAATAGTTAAAGAAGTTCTTCGTAAGACAGGTGGACTAACAAATAATAAAAAGGACTTCCAAAAAAAGTGGATTAATGCCACCAATATGGTGAAAAAAGAAAAAGTCTGTAAAATGATGGCATCAACCCGCTATAGAGTTCGATTTCTTGCCAAGCAACCCATCAAGCCCCTTAAAATTAAGTTGAAACTCTAAATTATGTAAACACATTTGATAATAAAAAAATTGAAATAAAAAGCATTTATGGTTTTAGAGAAATCTCAATTTAAAGTTGACCGGATTTTTCCGTGTTTATTTTATAAACACGGAAAAATCCGGTCAACTTTAATATATATATATATATATATATATATATATATATATATATATATATATATATATATATATATATATATATATATATATATATATATATATATATATATATATATATATATATATATATATATATATATATATATATATATATATATATATATATATATATATATATATATATATATATATATATATATATATATATATATATATATATATATATATATATATATATATATATATATATATATATATATATATATATATATATATATATATATATATATATATATATATATATATATATATATATATATATATATAAAAACCTCTCTACTGATTCCCATTCTGTGTGACCTAAATATAAGTCCTAAAAAAAATTTGACGGTTTTATTTTGACAGGAAGTGCTAGATGTAAAATCTGAGTTTTATAGTTTTAATGTTAAGCTGGCTTAACATTAATAGAAAACACAATTTTTTTACATTTTCGAAAATTAAAACTAAACAATAGATTCATTTCAAATTGTTTTCTCTACTATTTAATTTGATAGTTTATACTTATAAATATAAAAATACAAAAAAAAAATACATGAAAACTAATATATATTAGCAAATTTAAGATTTTATTGCGGTGAAACATTTCTCAAAAATTCAACTTTTTGTACAGTTCCCAAGCTCCTTTTTAGTTATACTCTTAATCAAGTTAGAATCAAGTTTGTAGTTTTTAACTACAAAATATAGATTTTGAAGGTGATCTTCATTTCTAGTAGCTGAAATAAAATCTAGCATTTGAGGATGGTTAAAACATCTATAGTATTAATGCTATTATTGAGCCATTCTTTTATACTTCCTCTTGATATTTTAAAATGTTTGAAGAGAAAATAGCTTTGCTCGGAAATCAATTCAGGTAGCTCTGTGGTCTTTCCAATTTGTACATTTGATGGTTTTTAACATTGGTTTTTTATAGTATTTTCAGCTTTGTTTCAGAAAAAACTACTTTATCCCCAAAGGAAAAAACACAGAGTTGCGCAGTTAAGTACCACGTATGGCATCCCATGCTGAGAAGCAAAGCATTTCTAATATTCCTACTGACTTTTCTCAATGCACAAGCTGTCTGGATAGCTTTCAAATCATTGTAGGGAGCCAGAAATCCTAAGAAATTTTTCAAAAACCATGAAACATAGCAAACTGAAATGAACAAACTTGCATCTTTTAACTAGAGCACTTCTTTTTCTGTCAAGATATTACTGATATCTTTGGTCATATAAAGAGCCAGGATGTAGATCACATCTGCTAAAAACCTTGCCTCATGGCAGGCGCCAGGAAAGAAGGAGGCAAGAATACAAACTATACTATAATCATTCCTTGAAAACATTATATCAGTAGTTGCATTAGTCAAAAATGTCTTTCTCTGCAACAGTGCAAAGAACTGAGCCAATCTTCAGATCATCTCTTTGCAAGTCTAATTTGCATAACTTTCTCACAGATTTCAGGCCACTTGTTTTTTAGCTTGATATAAAGATCTCTTCTTGGACCTTTAAGAACATCCATATAGTGAGATACATGTATGTCATATAAGTGTCTTCTACACGTTATCCACAAAATTTGTAGTTTCAAAATATCTTTAAGAATTTGGACTGCTCCATGATTCCACCTGTATTGCTTGCAGTTGTATCACAGCATATACCAATGATCTGGGTGCGGATTCACCAAACTTTCGTAACTCTTGCGTAGCTCAACTAAGGTTACGGAAATCGTAAATTCAGCGTAGTTTTGGTATTCACCAATGTTTCGCAGCATTTCCGTAAAGTTAGGGTTGCGCACGAGTTGCGCCAAACTTACGCAAAAACTTACGCAAAAATCAACCAAGTTAATTTTTGTTTGAATAAACCAAGTTTTTGTAATTTTATAAAACAAACTTTTCTAATATTGAATTCATAATTTCCAAATTAATTTAAGTTAGGGGTTATTACTAATTATAAATATTAGGAAAAAAGTTTCAAGTTGAAAAGAGGTAGAGAGGGTTCAGAATTGATTATTCTACAAAGAGGTTATTAAGGGCAGATAAGTTTTTAAATTGTTTAATATGCAATTAATAAATAATAAAAAAACTTTCATTTTTTTCATTCATAAATATCACGTAAATCATATATATCCCCTATCCCCTTCAATTTAATAACATAGTTTTAACTAGTGTTCTTTGTACAATGCCAAGTCGAATTGGTTGACTTGTGTTAATTCAACCTGAACATAGTGTATCTTCGTTCATGTCATCTGGAATTTCTAATCCTAAGGAATTGTAAAAGTTTTCCAGCAACTTACACTTAAATTATATTTTGCAATATATTGTTTGGGTAAGCATATGTTTAGGAGCACTGAAGTGCTTTACGTCTATTGTGACATCCAATGGTTTTTGAGATGATCAAAGGATTGCTCCACATCACTATCTATCTGTAGGTAAACTGTATTGAAATAGAATTTTTCTGGTGTAGTTGGCTGATTAAATGGTGCAATCATGACTGTTAATAAGCAAAAAGGAAATCTGCATTAGGATTATATTCTAATGTCTTTTTCAATTCAAAAATAGAAAAAAATAAAAATTATTCTTTTTTTGAATTGACTAGTAGTTTTTACCAATTACTATTTGAAAACTCCTAGTTAATTTTAAAACTCTCAGTTACATTTTTGCTTCTGAAGAAATTGGGTTGCTCCTCAATATGCTTGGTGACAAATCATTGTTAATGTGTTTTATATACTTCTATATATTTTTATACAAATGAGATTTTTTAACACATTCTACATCAGAGTAATTGTTTAAAGCAGTATATTGAGCTTAATGCTAGATTTGATCTTGACCAAATTAATCAAATTTCTATTTAAACTAAAACAAAATAAAGCTATTAAAACAACTAAATGAACTATGATAGTTAAACTTAACACGTACTATATAACAGAAAACTGTGAAATAGAATATTTATAAAGATATACTTGCTTTTTTGTAAATATATAGTGTTTTATTAATATTTATAAAGATATAGTTGTTTTTTTTTATGAATATAATAATTCAATAATTATATATATTACCAAAATCATAACTGCATTATAACAATACAGCATCTTTTAAAATATAATCCAAATAATATACAATATACTATAATATATTATTTTATATAACAATGTTACTATTATTTTGCATAAGATGTTATGTTATATTAATAATATAATAACATCTTAATATAAATAAATTAAATACATTAGGTTTAACTTAATTAATAATATAACATCTTAATGGTTGTCATAAAGATGTTATATCAATATTTATTTATAATATCACATCATGATGCATGTAATTTAAATATATTCGGGCCCTATTATACGCTATATTACAACTATAAGATAATAAATTGATCATATTATACAAAAA